GAGGAGGAGGAGGAGGAGGAGGAGGAGGAGGAAGGGCAGCCTGCACCCCCGCCTTGTCGATGCTCCCCCTCCCTCCCATCCTCCGCCCGTTGCCGAGGTCACGCTCTTTGTCAGCGGCGTTCCAGTAGGCGTGGCGCGGGTCGGCACAGGAGGAGAGGGTGGGGAGGGGTGAGGGTGGGAGGGGTGGGGTGGGGAGGGAGAGACAGGGTGCAAGAGGAGGATGACGATGATAATGAGGAGGATTACGATGATGATGATGAGGAGGAGGAAGAGGAGGAGGATGAGGAGGAGGAGGAGGAGGATGAGGATGAAGATGAGGAGGATGAGGAGGGCAATGATGACGATGGTAATGATGCTGCTGATGATGATGGTGATGATACTTCCGCTGGTGATGACGATGCGGCTGATGATGATGATGATGATGATGATGATGATGATGATGATGATGATGATGATGATGATAATGCTGATGATGATGATGATGATGGTGATGTTGATAAGGAATATGATGAGGTTGAGGAGGCCGAGGATGAGGATGATGACGATGATGACGACGATGATGATTATGATGGTGATGATGTTGAATATTGTAATGTTTATGATGATGCTAAGGACGACCACGATGCTGATGACTTCGCAGATGGTGTTTATCATTACGACGATGATGACGATGGTGATGGTGTGTGTGGGTGACGACGATATTGACTATGATGCTGAACATGATGATGATGATGATGATTCTGATGCTGCTGCTGATGATGATGATGATGATGATGCTGATGATGATGATGATCATGATGCTGACGGCGTTGATGATGAGCATGACGATGGCGACGGCGATTGCGAGGCCGATGATGAGGTTTCTGATGCAATGCCGATGCTGATGATGGTATTGATGCTGCTGCTGATGACGCTGATGATGATGCTGATGCTGATGATGACGATCGCGGCGGCGGTGGCGACGACGTTGACGACGACGACACTGACGATGACGACAACGATGACGAAGATGTTGGCGCTGCTGGCGACGATGTTGGTGATGCTACTGATGACGACTCTGACGATGACGATGACGATGGCGATGACACTGACGATGGTGATGACGATGACTACGACGACGAGGACGAGAACAACGACGACGACACATCAGGATGATGATGATGCGGCTGCTGAAGGTGACGGTGATGATGCTGATGCTGCTGATGATGATGATGCTAATGCTGATGCTGATGATGATGATGATGATGATGATGATGATGATGATGATGATGATGATGATTCTGATCATGATGATGATGGCGATGATGGTGATTTTGATGACGAGGATGCTGATGATCCTGTTGAGGATGTCGGGAATGATGCTGATGATGATGTTGCTGATGATGATGCTGACGATGTCGATGATGCTGCTGATGACAATGATGATGAGGAGGATGGGGATGGTGAGGATGCTGCTGCTGATGCTCAGGGGTGAGGAGTGGGAATGCTTATGCTGATGATGCTGATACTTATGCTGATGATGCTGCTGATAATGATGAGGTTGCTGATGATGATGATGATGATGATGATGATGATGATGATGATGATGATGATGGCAATGATGATGGTGATGATGATGCTGCTGCTAATGATATGATGATGACGCTGATGATACTGATGGTGGTTGTGGTGGTGATGCTGATGATGATGATGCTGCTGATGCTGAGGATGATGATGATGCTGATGCTGCTGATACTGAGGGATGAGGAGGAGGAAAGCTTATGATGATGCTGCTGACGGTGATGCTGCTGATGATGATGCTAGTCATGATGGTGATGGTGATGATGCTGATGATGATGATGCTGTTGATGACGATTAAAACAACGACGATGACACATCAGGCTGATGATGATGCGGCTGCTGAAGATGGCGGTGATGATGCTGATGCTGCTGATGATGTTGATGATGCTGATGCTGATGATGCTGATGATGGTGATGATGCTGATAATGATGATGATGCTGATAATGATGCTGATGAGGAGGATGAGGATGGTGAGGATGCTGCTGCTGCTGACAATGAGGGGTGAGGGGGAGGAATGCTGATGATGCTGCTGATGATGATGTTGATGCTGATGAGGCTGCTGATGAGGATGAGGACGATGATGATGATGATTATGATGCTGCTGCTGATGGTGATGCTCGTGATGCTGATGATGACATCAATGATGATGATGATGATGATGATGATGCTGATGATGATGATGCTGATGATGATGCTGATGATGATGATGATGATGATGATGATGAGTATGACGCTGATGATGATGAGTATGGTGGTGGCGATGATGATGCTGATGCTGATGCTGATGCTGGTGCTGATGAGGCCGATGACGATGACGATGCTGATGATGCTGATGATGATGCGTAGTGATTATGATGATGCTGATGCTGATGCTGATGCTGACGCTGATGCTGATGCTGATGCTGCTGATGATGATGGTGGTGGTGATGATGATAATGGTGATGATGATAATGGTGATGATGCTGATGATGATGTTGATGATGCTGCTGATGAGGATGATGATGCTGATGATGATGATGATGATGATGATGATGATGATGATGATGATGATGATGATGATGATGATGATGATGATGATGATGATGATGGTGGTGGTGGTGGTGGTGGTGGTGGTCGTGGTGGTGGTGGTGGTGGTGATGATGATGATGATGATGATGGTGGTGGTGGTGGTGGTCGTGGCGATGATGATGAGGAGGGGGATTATGGTCGTGAGGATGAGGAGACTGAGGGGATGAGGTACGGGGTGGGGGATGACAACGGGGGGAGGCACGGGAGGGGGGTAGGAGGAGTCGGAGTCCGAGATGGAGTCCGAGTCTGAGCCTGAGTCAGAGAAGGAGAAGGAGGAGGAGGAGGAGGAGAAAGAGGAGGAGGAGGAGGAGGAGGACGAGGAGGAGGAGGAGGAGGAGGAGGAGGAGGAGGAGGAGGAGGAGAAGCATGACGATGAGGACGACGAGAAGAAGGCACCGCCACTCAGCGGTGTAATGATTGGGATCGTTCGAGGGGAATCAGCGCGGCGCTAAGGCGAGAGGCACGTTCTAACAACCCCGTGTTTTCCATCCGTGTAGCTGTCGGAATAGTTTCAGACGAGCGTGCTGGAGGACCACTCTTCGAAAGCCACAGGTGCTCCTTTCAGAGTAGCTGGTTGCCGTCTTGAGACCGGCGTGCGCTTGCGCCAGGGCGAGGGCCACACGGAAGAGTGGCCGCCCTCCGTCCGTGTAGAGTTGGAGAGGGGCTTGCAAGGCGAGTGTGCGCGGCGCTCGGGCGAGAGCCGCATCTTGCATACGGTGTGCCCCATCCGTATCATCAGTGTGAGCTTTCAGGTTGTGGGCAATCGCTTGTGTGGAGATCTCTGGCCAGACGCTCAGCCCGCTCGCCCGACACGTCTTGTGGTGCGAGTTGGAGGAAGAGGAGGTACTGATCAGAAAGAGGGATGGATGAGGAGGAGGACGATGAATGAGGAGGAGGCCTGGGGGCAGAAGGAGAAGGATGATAGCTGGAGGATGAGGAGGAGGAGGAGGCATCAGGACGCATTAGAAACAGGACGCCGAAGGTCCAGGAAAACCTAACCGAACGGAGCGGAACAAAAACGAATCACTGCTCGACGCGACGACTCTCTGCACCCAGGACCGCCTTCGGAGGACCCGAGGGGTGAGGGTACCTTCCCGATTTTTTTCTAACCAGGTTCTATCTCCCTTGAGGTATGGGGGTGCACAACTTCATGAGCTGGCGGGGGTCGGTGGTGCAACTGAACCCGCAGGTGCTGCAGAACGTCAGGCAGTATTTGCTCCAATGTTGCAACGTGTGAGACAGGTGAAGGGCTTTGCCACCGATGCGCTGGGCCCCACGGCGAGGCTCGAATTCTCGAAAAGCCTTCACCCTTCAGGTGGTCTCACACATCTGAAACAGATACTCCTGATTCGAGAGCTCCGAGCGCCTGGTGCAACAAAGCTTGGCACCCACCCGACTCCACCTATGCTCAGACTGCTTCAACACCCGCGCCAGTTTGGGGAGAGGTTTCACGATTTCGGCTTACAATCGCACGGAGGTCCGAGGAGGAGGAGGAGAAGGAGGAGGAGGAGGAGGAGGAGGAGGAGGAGGAGGAGTAGGAGGAGGAGAAGGAGCAGGAGGAGGAGGAGGAGGGGAAGGAGGAGGAAGGAGGAGGGGAAGGAGGAGGAGGAGAGGAGGAGGAGGAGGAGGAGGAGGAGGAGGAGGAGGAGGAGGAGGAGGAGGCGGAGGAGGAGGAGGAGGATAGTTCTCCTCCCCCTTCGCTTCTTCCACCCCCCCTTCTCCTTCTCCTCCTTCCTCCCTCCTCGCTCCCACCTGGGGTACGGACCCTAAGGGGCGGTTGTCTTCCAGGAGGCGCTTCGCGCTGAGAAGCCGACTTCTTGTGGGGACTTCTGGGGAGGGGACTCGGAACAGGTGGGCTTCTTGCAGCCTCGTTGATACCTCCTGACCTTCTCCCCCCACTAATTACTCCTCCCTCTTCCCTCCTCCTCCTCCCCTCCTCCTCCCTCCTCCCTCCTCCCCCTCCTCCCTCCTCCCCTCCCTCTCCCCCTCCCTCTCTCCTCCCTCCTCTCCTCCTCCTCCCTCCTCCCTCCTCCTCCTCCCTCCTCTCCCTCCTCCCTCCTCCTCCTCCTCCTCCTCCTCCTCCTCCTCCTCCTCCTCCTCCTCCTCCTCCTCCTCCCTCGCCCCCCCCTTCCCTGGGAGAGCGGCGGAGGCGAAGGCGGGGGCGGGGATACTGCCTCGCCTCCCCCCCGCAGGCGTGCAGAGGCGCGAGCTCCTGCACATCTTCCGGCAGTGCGCCGCGGCCCGACCGCCGCCGCTGCTGCTGCCGGAGGGGTCCACGGGGTGGGCGGGGACCAGACGTAGCCCCAGTGTTACGGTAGGTTCGCGTCGTGTCGACCGGCGGCGACCCCGCCGCCAGCGTTCAACGTTGAACGCCGCCAGCGACCCAGAATCGGTCGAAGTTGAACCATCGGACGTTTCGGAAAGGGCCGATCGTTCAAGGCTGAACGATCCGCGCTGTGTCAGGAAGCAACGCCAGGGTCGACACGACACGGACCTGCCGTATAGAGGGGGAGTCCTCCCCCCGTCTTCTCGCAGGGGAAGGGGGGAACACCGCTCCTGGCCGCGAGCGATTTGTCATTCTTCCCCCCTGGTACTCAGGAGGGAAAAAACACACAGACACAATTAATGGTCGATTCCCCAGAAAATGTGGGAAACTATGGGAAGTGGGAGGGAAGACAAAAGCCCAGAAAATATGGGAAAATATGGGGAATCCTTTGATTTGTGTGTTTTTATTTGTGTGTCCTAGGGCCCCTTCAGGTACCGTGACCCCCGGCCGGCGCCCGTGGACTCCTCCACAGGCGCAGCCAATATAAGCATCGCTCCCTCCTCGGCAGCGCAGGCAGTGGACGCGCGAGAACGGGAGGGCAATGGTGGGGCGGCCGTCCATTAACGGGCGAAGAACGGTATAAGATAAACTTTTTCGCCGTCGGGGACACCTGCCCCAGCGCGGCTGGAAAGTTTATACCCTTACGGTGGCACCGTAGGGATATAAACTTTCCAGCCGCCCCGGGGCAGGTGTCCCCGACGGCGGAAAGTTTATCTTATACAGTTTTTCGCTCGCTGAGTCCGTGCGGACGCGGGGCGGCTCAAACCTTCACGATTCCTTGCTCAGCACGGGCTTCTCCAGCTCTCTTGAACACACGGGGGCAACGTCGGGGGCGGATGGGCTCAGGGGGAGCGTTTCGGGCTCGAGGCTCCAGGTTTTCGGACGTTTTTGTGGGTTTCCGTCGCGTTCCCACCCTGGGCGTGGCTTCGGCGGCTGCGCCTCGCCGGGAGCGTTCCGGGGGTGCCCAGCTCTTCCCGCACGGCGGCCCGAGAGCACGGTCATATCGAACAGGCAGGGGGAGAAGTATCGGCTCCCAATCGCCCGTTCGTCGACGATAGGGGCCTGATGGCCCACCCCGCCGCAGGAGCGTTCGGTTTCGCTATCGGAATCAATCAGCGCTGCCTCGCCGATTCTGGATCGATGCTTCCGCCCCTGAGCCAGTCCCCACTATCGTTCCCCCCTGAAGATAAGGGTGTGTGTGTGTGTGGATATCATGGCTCGGGCCATGCATCTCCCAGATGTCATGCCCCCTCTGCTTCTTGCAGCGCATCCGCTGGCTCCCCCTGGTCCGCGCACGTGCCCCAGGCCATTTGGCGCCCCCTCCTTTTCCTGGCCGTCTGCTTGCTGCCGTGCGCGGCCTGGCGCAGGCTGTCACTGCCGTCCGCTTGCTGCCTTGCGCGGCGAACGCGCAGGAGAACAATCCCAGATGCTTCGACGACGACGACGACGACGACGAGGACGACGACGACGACGACGACGACGACGACGACGACGACGACGACGACGACGACGACGACGACGACGACGACGACGACGACGACGACGACAGCACCCCCAAGGGGCACGGTACAGTCGCGCGTCCGTAAGAGCACCATGGTTGTCTACGACGGGTGGACCTCTACCGACGCCACGGTCAGGGAATCAGGGTATCATCATGTCCCCCCGCTTGCCACGAGGGGAACGCCTGCTGCGACAACGCTAGCAATACCTCCAGGCTGAAAGTGCCGTCCCGCTTGCGCCGCGGGAAGTTGAGCAGCGGTCCAAGCGACATGGGAGGGTGCAAATTCCACATCCATCAGGGCAGCGGCGTACGAGGGGTCCAGGATGGCGAACTCGAGCGAGTTCGTCTCAACAAACAGGCTCCTCGGATGGGTGGTGGGCTGCGTGAGCCCGAGGCAGCAGTCAGGAAACCACCGAGAGGACGGAGCAAGCCGGAACCATTGCAACTTTCCATGGGTGTGGGGGTGCCCACGCGCCCATGAGTACATGCCCACGTCGGTTTGTCCGGGGAAGACGATTTTTAGTTGATTGGTTGTGCGCGCGGTGTACATGCACATGGTTAGTGCGGGGCGGCTTTTCATGTGCATTCGTTGTAAGGGGGACACGCGCTGAGTTCAAATGCGACGAGCTGAAACGTGCTGATTCGGCGGTTGGCATGTAGCGCTGTCGCGCGCGATGGGTTTACGCTGGCGAGTCGTATGATTCGCCATCGTTTTTCTCACGCCTTTCGTTTTTGATTTTGCGCGCACGAATCGCGAGAACCACCGATCAGTCCCTCACCAAGTAGTGTCCGTTATTGCGTTCTCGCTCGCGTTCCGGACCGCTTGACCGCTCACAGGCGCGTGTGCGTGTGAGTGTGTAGTGTGTGCGCTCCGTGCGCCCATTCCCTCTGCCTTGCCGCTGTCGGTTGGCCGTCGCTGCACTCCTTGACGCCGTCTTCGGGCGCTGGCTCACTCCTCTCACTCGCCATTCGCGCCGTGGTGGCCCAAGGGCGGTCGATCCAACGTAGTCCCGCGTCTGAGGGCCCGTCCGCGCGCGTCAAGTCAGCGCCGCTTGCTCGATATGCTCCGCCCCGTCGCTGCGCGCGAGGGCCGAACAAGTGTGCGTGCGTGCGTGCGTGCGTGCGTGCGTGCGTGCGTGCGTGTGTGTGTGTGTGTGTGTGTGTGTGTGTGTGCGTGTGTGCGTGCGTGCGTGCGCGCGCGCGCGCGTGCGTGCGTGCGTGCGTGCGTGCGTGCGTGCGTGCGTGCGTGCGTGCGTGCGCGCGTGCGCGCGTGCGTGCGTGCGTGCGTGCGTGCGTGCGTGCGCGTGCGTGCGTGCGTGCGTGCGTGCGTGCGTGCGTGCGTGCGTGCGTGCGTGCGTGCGTGCGTGCGTGTGTGTGTGTGTGTGTGTGTGTGTGTGTGTCCGCCATCCGCACCTGGATGGCTTGTTGCTGCGGCACGCGTGGGGTTCAACGCATTCCCGTTCAGGGCCCGGCGCCGCGCGCGCGCCGGGTCCGACCTTGCTCCGCCTCGATGCTGCGCGCGAGGCTGCGACCGCCAAAAAAGTCCGCGTGTGTGCGCACGTGCGTGTGTGTCTGTGTGTGTCCATGCCCAGTGCTGTTGCCCGTTCGGTGCTCACTCTCCGCCTCTCACTGCGCCCGTCGGTGCTTACCCCCCGCGCGCACTCGGCCCTCACGGGTGGCGCTCCTGCTTCCGCCTGCCCCTTCTGGCGGTGGCCGCTGCGCTTGCCTTCTGGCGCGGTGGCCTTGCCGCTCGCCGTGGGCTCCCTCGCGCCGCCTCCCCGCTTGTCCTTGGGACCGCCGCCTCGGACTCTGTCGGGGTGGAGGCCCCGTGCCCCGCGGTTGTACCCCGTGCCTCGGCAGGACGGATCGCTGGCCTTCGGCAGGGTTTTGGGCAGCCTCTGCCTGTGGCCTCCACCTCGTCTGCCTGGCCCTCCCCGGTTCTGGGGCGCTCGTTGGCCTTGGCCGCCCCCCCGGGCCGGCCCCCCGCCTGTCGGTCCTCGTGCCGGCTTCGCCGGTTGGCCTGCTCGCCCGCTGCTCCGCCCCCCCGCGGTCCCCAACCACAGGGTACCCGGGCCGCCCGCCATCTGGCGCCTCGCAGGACCATGGATATCGGCGTTTCTTCTTGCTTCGCCTGCTGGGCCCTTCCCAGCTACCCCCCAGCCCCTCCCCTGAAGTGGTCTTCTCCAGCTGCTCTGTCGCATGGAAGGTCGGTTCGATCTCGGCGTACGGCCGCCTTATTGTGCTGCCCGTCCCCAGCATTGTCTGGGCGTGATCCCCCCCGCCTCGCGCGGCCGCCCCTGACTGCTTCCCCCCCCCCCGGCTGCCCCGTGGCTGCCGCCCCGCCGCCCCGGCGCCGCCCCTGCCGCGGCCTGGCCCCGTTCTGAGCGGCCCCGCTTCCGTGTCCCTCCCGCCCGCGCTGGGCCTTCCCTTCCTCCTCACGTGCATCGCGGCTTAATTAGTAACTCTATGCCCTACCTTTGCCGTATCCGCCAGCGCGGTCACCCTGCCTAGCCGCCGAGGAAAAAGTAGTGTGTGTGTGTGTGTGTGTGTGTGTGTGTGTGTCTGTGTGTGTCTGTGTGCGCGTGGCTCTGGGGTGCATGGCCTTGGCGCGAGCCCAGCGGTGATCGGGCAGCAAACGCGCTTGGTGCGTCTCTGCGTTGCCGCCGTTCGCACTCTACCCTCCCTCTGCCCAGATCGTTCCCTGGCATGAAAACCATAATTGAGCAACGTCAGATTCCGCACCGTTGACCATATGCGAGGAGACGAAACTGACTTGGTCATCATCACGCGCGTGCGTTCCAACGGCAAAACTCCGGGCGCCTCGACCTGTCCCCGCTGCCTCAACGTGGCGCTGACTCGCGGCAAGCGAGGTTGCATCGTTATCATGAGTGCCGCAATGTCACAGGCCAGCAGCGGCGCGCATATCGGGGCGTTCGGCGAGTTTGCGGAACGGCGCATGGTCCCTGAGCCAGCTCTCCCAGCCTGCCAACCCCGTCTCGTTCACCTGCATCGCCCTCCGCGACACGGTCGGCGCTGCGGTTTTCTCCAGAAGAGCGCCCAAGGGAAACCCGGCCAAACCCGCCATCGCTTCGCAACGGGCCAAGGTTTTCATCGCCAATTTGCGCCGCCCTCCGCCCGCGGGGTTCTCCGGCGTGGACAGTTGCGAGGAGCAATGCCGCTGGCTTCAGATCTTGGTCGAGGGCCCCGTTTTTCTCCCCCTCTTCGCCTGGGTCCTCCAGTTGCGCCTCACCGTTTCAACTCCGCGCGCCCCCTTCCCGACGGTGCTTTCGACCGCAAAATAGGTTCGCAGCTTGCCCAGGACCTTCGCTCCATGCTTGGGTGCGACGCCAGAAAGATCTGCCTCGCCCTCCGGCACGGCGCAATCCCTCGCTACGTGGGCTT